AGCCACACCTACCTAAAACGGCTCGTTCTAACACGCCCCCACATACCTACGTCACTATTTGGGCGGCGTTATGCAACTCTTCCCAGATAGTGACGTAGGTATGTGGGGTGTGTTAGAACGAGCCGTTTTAGGTAGGCGTGGTTGACTCTTAACTTTTATAAAGAATATCTCTTTGGATTTGAGACTTTAGTCTTTGCAACTTTACAGATCTTCTTTATGCACCAAGAGCTTGTAACACTCCAAAGAGAAAGGAAAAATTGAAATCGCATCATATGACCCCTTTAATGTATCAGCTACATAATGTAATGCATCACCATCTCTGGTGTCGCTGCAGTAGAGACAATTTGAATCAATAGTAAACCAATAGAGAAATATACACATGAATTATACATCACATAGAGATAGAATATGCTGTTAGTGATACTGGTTAATGCTGACTTTGTTTGTCTCAAATCATTTCCGCTGTCAAAACAGGGCTGTTGGCAGCAACACTACACACACTTCCCAGGTTTGTGTTCCTCAGGGTGGGGAAAACAAGCTAGTTTATGCCTATGCGTTTCTAATAATCCATGACTACCTGTAGCTCTTGGCTCCACTCTGACGTCCCCATTGACAATCTTGTTAAGAACATTTTTAAACGCCCCCACTAATACAATGCTCAGTCTTTCATGTTACACAAAGGGCCTCGAGGTTCTTGGGATGAAAAATGTCCTAGTCAGCACAGCATGCAAATCCAAACTGAGATGACACTCTTATGAGGACACACACAACTTCTTTGTGCTGACAGATAAGAGCTAACTTTCTTCTGACTGGTTTATGACTTCATGTCTGCACAGATTTAAAAATCAACAGCTTTTTGGGCTTGATCTCGTTCCAATGCACCATATGTCACACTTTACATAGAAACCACCACTACCAGACCTCAATGTCAAAGACATGGTGTGTTAATATTATAAGAGTGGTTTTATGACACAAACGTGTATTGTATTTGACAGGAACCTTACAGATAATGTCAACAAAGATGCGCTTGACCTTCAAAAAAGACCTTGGGAAAAATCATAAGGTAAAAGTAGAATTGTTGTACTGTATAGAAATGTTTGTATTAGAATACAATTAATTAAAATAATTTTAATAAATTTTTTAAATTAATTTTATTTTTTTGTATCAATATTTGTAATGAAACATTTCAAGTAAGATTTTTAAAAAATGTTTTTGTAAGAAGTCTCTTCTGTGCACCAAGGCTGACTTTATTTGATTAAAGATACAGTTAAAACAGTAATACTGTGAAATATTTTTACAAAAAAAAAAAAAACTGTTTTCTATTTTAATACATTTTAAAATGTAATTTATTCCTATGATGGCAAAGCTGTATTTTCAGCATCATTACTCCAGTCTTCAGTGTCACATGATCCTTCAGAAATCATTCTAATATGCTGATTTGATGCTCAAGAAACATTTCTTGTTATTATCAATGTTGAAAACATTTTTTTTCAGTGTTTTTTGATAAACAGGAAGTTCAAAAGAACAGAATTTATTTGATTTTTTAAGTCTGTCACTTTTGATCAATTTAATGCATACTTGCTGAATAAAAGTATTAATTTCTTTTTTTAATTCTTACCCCAAGCTTTTGAACAATAGCATATGTTAAACCACATATTCTGTGCAAGAAAATTGTAGGATTTCTAGTGGAAAACTATGAAATGATCCCAATAACAGTTGCTCTGTCAAAACACAAAATTTCCCAGGAGGTTTTGTCATTGTGCCATTATTAGACTTGTATTGGCCTCATAATAACATCAGAGAGGCAGAGGGTGTTTGGTATGCTGGTGTGATGATGTTACATGGATTACTGTTGCAGTTATGAGTCACTGTGTCCCACTAAAGGTGTGTTGAGATGAGCATTTAAATCACCTTCGAGACAACCAGTGTCTGTGACCTTGCTGTTCCTCACGCCTAAACACACCGCTTGGCCTCCTCTATGAGCGAAAGACGCTACACATAAACATGCAAATATAAACTCAAGACAGGAAGTCAGCTATTTTTTCGGACTAAATTCTTATTCAATAAAAGCAGAGATGAAGACCTAACAAGAAAGAGAGAGTAAAAACTCTGTCCAAATGATGACTAATTCAGATCTATACTTCCCTTTTAAGTGGCAAATCTTTCAAATAACATGCTTTCCTCGACGCTCAAAGAAATCTCTTGGAAGTGAAACTGGGTTTTCCTCACTATATGAACGAATGTTCACTTTGAAAAGGGCAGATCTGCCTGCTCACTTTGAAGTCCACAGTCTGAGAAGAATCACATTTGACAGTTGTCATGGGAAGGAAGAAGCTGGTAGAGAGGGCAAAGTGTGACCCGTAATCTTATCCAGAATACAAATGCACACCCAAACAATGAGAAAGAGAAGAGAACATTGAGATATAGAAATTATATGGATGCTTTTCATACCTGCCAGAATATGCTGTCTATAGTACTTCCTAGGAAGCCCTCTCTGGTTTCAGAAGAAACAAGTTTAGGTCCCAATATTGTCATAAATTCATCAAAGTCCACCTGTCCATCACCTGCATCAGAAAGAAAACATCTGGATTAGAATCAGAAAGAATTTTAAAAAAGAGCTTCAATAAGTTAAAGTAAAACAAATTAGAGATCTTAGGCATGATACTGTATTGGTACCATGTTGGTTATTAGTTGAAATGAGAGATTTTTTTATCATATTCGTCCATATTGAATTTAATTGTGCATTCTCATTTCTTATTTTTACATTTGGATTACTTTTGCTGTCATATAATGGACACTTACAAGAATAGTTCACCCAAAAATGATTTTTTTTTTCTGTGATGTTTTTATCAGCTGTTTGGACTCTCATTCTGACGGCACCCATTCACCGCATTGGCTCCATTGGTGAGCAAGTGATGTGATGCGAAATTTCTCCAAATCTGTTTCGATGAAGAAACAAACTAATCTACATCTTAGATGGCCCGAGGGTCAGCAAATTTTCATTTTGGGTGAACTATTCTTTTAAGTTAATCTTTAAAAAGCAACACATTTTAAAACAATCAGCTAATTATAACAATTAAATATATTCTGACTGGTTGAAAATTTGTCACGTTGCACAGAGGTTTTCACTGCTTGTCACTGGAAGCTTTTTACCTTGCACCTGCCACCTGATCAGAACAGCTTATTAAAGTTCTTAAAATCAGTTAAAGAATAGAACAGAACAGAATAGAATTATTAATTGCCCTTCAGGGATCAGTAATCTACATCCACCTAAGTCTCAGATACTATTTTGATTTAATAAGATCTGCACTGCTTTGCTGATTGCTTTATTATGCGTTTTTTTTTACTGGTCAGCTAAATGAAACTAAGTAATAAGATACAGATCTGAAATATTTAAATTGACTTGATCTAACCATTACATCTGAAACTGACAATGATATTTTTTTCACATTTCATTCACCATTGGTTTCCTGTGCAGTTTAATTCAATAAAGCAAATATCATGCGCCAGGCAAATTAAAATTCAGATCAGCTTGCAGCTGGTAATACCTTTTAATAAATATTTACAATTACAATTATTACAATTTAAAGTTAAACTGAATCTTATTGTCTCCTAAGGTGCATGCTCCTGACCTTACACTTGCACATCTTTTTAAAAAACAGAAAATATTATGGCATGTGAACATTATAATTATGGCCTGCATAACAGCTATCAATCTTTCTCTTTCAAAAAAAAATTTTTTTTTGTTTAAAGTTTGTTAAAAAAATCTCAGATCAGCTTGCAGCTGGTAATACCTTTTAATAAATATTTACAATTACAATTATTACAATTTAAAGTTAAACTGAATCTTATTGTCTCCTAAGGTGCATGCTCCTGACCTTACACTTGCACATCTTTTTAAAAAACAGAAAATATTATGGCATGTGAACATTATTATTATGGCCTGCATAACAGCTATCAATCTTTCTCTTTCAAAAAAAAATTTTTTTTGTTTAAAGTTTGTTAAAAAAATTACTGGTCTGAGATGTATGAAAGGCAACACCAGCTGAGAGCGACAGTGGAATTTAAAGTGATAAGTCAGAGAGAGCTGTTACCACGCTAATGTTCCCACTGTGCTGCAAAACCTCGTCTTCACTCTACCGCTGAATCTTAAAATATTTATTAATGAAATACAGTAAAGTGGTGCATTCGTATCTGCATTCGGTACCAAGGTTATGGGCAGCACTAAAGAAGACCTTTATGATTAAGAGTCAAAAGCTTGAGATGTAGCTCAACTAGTCATTTATAACTATGCTTAGAACCGAAGTTTTTGAGGTAAAATATATTTTGAAATAACATTTTATTTTGCTGTATCTTAGAATGGATGTAACAACACTGATCTTAAACTAACAAAATTCATATTATGAGGTGTAAAAGATCTTCCTAGACCCACAGTGTGAGTTTCATTCAACATCTGTAACTGCCCTACTTGCACAAAATGTGCGGATCAAGAAGAGCTACAACCTTCCAGGCAGATTGATGAACTAAATCAATGCATGTTCTCAAACCGTTCAGTCAACAGTGACCTGACCTTGAGGGATCCTTGGAGCCGGACACGCACACACACACACACACACACACACACACACACACAGAATAAGATGCCGGTTTTTTAGAATTCACCTCGCTTGCTGGTGTATTTACAGCCTCCCTGAGCTGGATAAATTGTTCAATTCTATGATCGCTGTAGCATGAACTGTTCAGAATATCATATGTCCAGTGCAAGGATCGGAAGGGGTCTGTGACAGATTGTAAAGCTGTTTTCACAGATGATTAGAAGACAGACATTTCTTTTTGTTTGTGTGAAAGGTGCTATCTCAGAATGAACCTGAGATTAAGGGAGATGTAGAAAGAGACTGACTAACCGTCCATGTCCAGTCTTTGCATGATAATAGCCAGCTCCACCTCACTGGGCATGTACCCCAGAGAGCGCATGGCTATACCCAGCTCCTGCTTCGAGATGAATCCGTTCCCATCCCTATCTAGAACTCGGAATGCCTCTCGAATCTCTGCAGAGAGAAACAGAGAAACGAGACAAAATAGAAATGCAGAACAGTCAGCAAACACAAACAACTCAATTAGCATTCATAATTCAAGTGGAATGTGCATGTCATCGGTGAGCATTAGACGGTATGTATTATATAATGCTTGCTTTTCTCACCAGTAACACAGTGTGCTATCACACAAACAGCAGAAATACTAAATGCAGCTCATTCTGTTTTCAAAGCCGTGTATTTAGTGTGCTGTGACTGAACGGTTATCCACGTTTTCAAAGGGCATCAGTGCCGGTTTTTTAATTAACTCGGGTTAAACAACCCACACCAAGTCGCAAGTACCAACGATAAAAATAACACTTGTAGCTTGTATCTTTTCTGAGGTGTATTACACTTTTTTTGCTGTCTTAAAGACCCACCTTGGTGTTATTCTGAGATAAAGAGGCAGAGGTGCTGTGCGCCTTGTAATATGCTGAACTGAGCGCTTCCTGCATTTCACAAAGCCTGTATGTTTTTTGCATTCCTTTAAATAAAATATCTTTAACCCTCATATTCTGTTTGGCTTCGAAAAGACCTCAATGGCCTTTTATTAATAGCTCATAACATACTTAACCTTCAAGTGTCAGGTTGATACTTTAGATATTTCAAGACATTTCTTAATCTTGTGAAAACTTGATTTCACATAATTCACATGATTATAATATAATGGGCACCCTGGAAAAAAAAAAAAA